GCAATGTGCATCTAATAGAGTTTTACATTTTATAAATTACATTAGTGAAGAATGCAATAGAGCAGGTAGAGAGAAACTTAAATGGTGAATTCCCAGAAAAACAAACTATCAAGCAAATAAATTCTGAAAACTCAATACAGAGAACTATGAACAAACTATGATTTATATTGGTAATCCCTTGGAATATTTGGCACTTACTGATTTTGTGTGAGAAAGTGATAGTATTAACAATCTAAATCATTATAGGCCCAAATATATGAGGCTCCAACTCAAACAGGCGGTGACGAAAATAAACTAAATTACAAGAGTTAATCTGAAAATATGCACATAGCACTGGTAATATTTCATCAACTGTTTGCCACTTTCATGGATATGAATGTGTCAGAACATATATGATCCATTAAAAAATACCCATGAAGGGCACTTTGGAAGTTAGAAAAATTTCTTGGGTTTATAGGCTGAATATAGCCAACACGAAAGGCTAGTTTAGTCAGATTCCAAGAGAATGTGAATTCCCTTCAAAATGACCATGAGAACAGAGACTAGTAAGATATGAAAAGTGTCACTAGGGCTATACTTTTAATGTTAAAATTAAATTCTAGCTTCAAAGCATACAACGCCTCTCTCGATACAACCCAAGTCTAACTCACGTTTCATGTCTTCTGTTGATCATTCCGCTTGCTTTCTTAGCTATCTAAATACACCTTTTGCACTTTCCCCGGCTTCTCTGCATATAGTCATGCATTTTTCTCCTCTCTAAAGTTCTCTTATCAATTTATGCACATACTAACTTTCCATTTATTCATCAGTTTACAAACACTCTCTACATTCTTTTTCTTCGGTTTCTCATTTGACTTCTTACTTTTCTGTGTATTTGGGTACATGAATGATATGGGGCATATATTTTGTTAAATATAGTATCATTTACACATCTTTTCCCTTGGATGTTTTCCAACCTGGGAAAAGTTTGATATTAATTTAACATTATCAAGTATTTTACATGTATCAAGTATAATAGTTTTTAGTTTTTTGGCCTTTCTTCTAATCTACCAATTCTTATAATTCTTCTCATCTTTTTTGGAGTAAAGAAAAGGGACAAAACCCAGTGCTGGAGGTAATAAGAAGCAGGGGAACTACTAAAGATATACTTTTACCTCCACCCAGCCAGATCACAGAACTGCTTCTACTATGTACGCTAAGTCTTCCACTCCCGACAATATGCACATATCTTTGGCAGATGTGTTGATAAAAATATTTTGCTGTCTTATCAATAAACTTTATTTTGTCTAACTGTCCTATATAGATTTGTCATACCAGATTTATCTATTAGAGTATACATTTTTCAATGGCTATATACAGAGTCTGGAGACCTAGGATGTAGTCTTAGATAGTAACCAGTTGTATGTTATCTTCTTTTTCTAAAAAAAAAAAAAAAGGGGGAATTGTACAATGTTTTCCTCACATAACTTTCGGCCTTAACACAGTATGATTATATGGGAATTACTGTATCTACGAAATTTTTATTTTTGTACACTATCTAGTACACAAAGGGGGCACTTCACTGTCAAGGGTCTATCTATCTTTCAAGACTCAATTCCTGTGGCTCCTCTTTTAGTTTCCCTTGGTCATCACAAATAGAACAATCTTCCTTCTCTGAACTACTATAGAAGTCATTGTTTATACCACATACGTGACACTATACAATTATTTTAACTCATATGTTACAACCTCTACCTGACTATAAGGTCCCAGAAGGCATACCCATTTATATCACCCCTTATAGTGCCTTATTCTGATATGTTTAATAAATTTTGATCGAACCAGATAAACTGTTTTTCTAAACATATAACCAGAAGAAGCTTTACACATCAAATGTTGATATAACTATTCTTAAATGTAATTTCTTTTGGAGGGGGGAGAATAGAAAATAATTTAGGTAAACTAATCAGGCAATAAGGAGTTTTCTTAGACATCTTAGATGCTAAAATAGCGAATTTAGGTGTATAAGTGGAACCAGAATTGCAACTTTCCTACTAAATAACCACACATGTATGTGAAATGTAATAAAGGAATGAGTATTTAGAAGAAGAATGGGAGAAAAAAATTGAAGATGAAGAGCTGTTGACATGACAAAGTCAAAATCTGGGTACAAAGCCTGCTTGTGTGAATATCATGTGCTGGAAGTCTCTGAATCTCTTAATTTTAGGTTGGATCCTCTTTCTTATCCAATAGCAATATACTTACACAAAATATTTGCTGCTCATTTTTAACAAACTTTTCATGAAATTTAAGGGATTCACATGACCAGGAGAGCTAGTTGTGTTAGCTCTTAAACCTGTTTGTGTCGGAGATACTTGTTAGTGTAATTATAGGATTCTATTAAATATTATATAAAAAAGATGAAAAGTGAGTAAAAAATGAGAATTGTTTCTATGAAAACCAAGTGGATGCTTTGGAAAGCTCAATAGAAGAGTTGCTAAAAATGCTGTTAACTAGATATAATTAAGTCAATTATGAAAGACTGGGCAAAAATCATAAAAAACTCTAAGGATTATACAACTACAGTTTCATAAGCAGCTAATTTAACTCTTCTTTAAAGAAATCAAATGAAAATTTGTCCTTAAAGAAGCGAAGATTATAGGTATGGTTTATGCAAGAAAGAATACTGCTATTTAAAAATAAAACAATGGCCCTACATCAAAGAGTGAGGAATGAATATAAGCACATGCTTACAGTGTTGCGGGGTGTGAGTATCATTGTTTATTCTTAGGGGTCTACCAGGGCTCTTGTTTGACCATGTACCAATTACCAGTGCAGACTGCTTCAGGTAAAGAGGGCTTCTAAATTTCATAAATTTTTCACTTAAGAGGATCTCGTAGAAGTATCACATAAAAACTTCAATGTTGTAGATAAAGCACATGAATTCACACTACACAATTTTATGGATGATTAATACAAAGATCAAAGCAGACTGAAAATAAAAGCAGACAAAAATGTAATCCTAAAAGTAATTACTCAGTATTGCTTTACTGATGCTTATGAAAACATAAGATATGTTTCTCAATCTAAAAACTTTCATTATTACAATTTGTATCAGAGCCTACTATATTACATTATTTTGTTAGTGTAGGTGAGAAAAACTGATCTTAAGTCCTCGCAGCAGAATACTAGATATTAAATACTAGATATTAAAATATCTAGTATTTGCTTAAAAAAAAAAAAACTGTCTTATCTTTTCTTCTTGGAATGCATTTATCAGAGAGAAATAATTAGACCAAAATTTAAAGTTAGGTTTACAAAAGATTTGAAAACCAATTGCCTTGCATCTCAGAACTGAAAGGCAACAGGTACCACCAAGTAAGTAAAAACTTTAGGATTCAAACTGACCTGACAGTTTAAGAAAGCAGACTTTCGAAAGAGATTAAAGTGTTGTTTTTTTTGTAAAATTCCTTATATTTGTAAGTTTTCTACAAATTCATGAAGAGGCAAACAATCTGTTCTAGATACCACAGGCATATATTTTAAAATAATAACTTGTACATCTAAGCCACCTTAATATATTGGTTCTACTTTCACAAATTACCCTGAGCTAACCAAGAAATATGGTAATTTTGCCAAATTGTTTCAAATGGCTTAGATTAAAATCACAAAGAACTGTTTTAGACTGACATTTTATGTCATATTCTATTTATACTATCTCTTGACTACTTTTAAATTTATCTACAATTTGGTTTGCCTATTGCATAGATTCTAAAGCTGGCAACAAATAATCACTCAAAAACACATAAGAAAATATGTCCCACAACACTTTTTTTGTCACATATTCTCATAAATATACTGTTATGAAGAATATACTTTCCCTCTCTTATTAAGTCTTACATATACCGTACAAGGATTGTGGATTTTTATTTAAATAAACAATATACTAAATAACTTAAAAACAAAAGTTATTAAATTACCAAAATATTCCATTTTCTCTATTACTGTAAGCAAACTATATGATTCTGTAAGCAATAACTATTAAGATGAACTATTTTGATGGAAGAACCAGTAATTAATTTCTCAAAGGCTAGAAAGAAACACATTAGTTAGTGATCTTTAGTTCATTTTCTCTTCAAATACAAAATTTTTGTTATGAGAAGAAAAAGGAGAATAAAATGCCTTAAACAATTAAGAAAAAAAAAGTGGGCAGAACTGGGTAGAAATTACCTGGTTTTCTAATTGTTTCTTAATATTTAGTTTCTGAAATGCAACATTTCCTCCCAAAAATTACCACCTCAAAGAACCTCATAATTTGTACACCAAAACTATTAAATATTCTTTCAAATATTATGTTTACATGTAGAGAATTTTCTAAACAGATGAAATAATAAAAATTAACAAAGCAATAATTTAATAAAATATGCTTTGGTATGTTAGGCATAAAAAAAAAGAACAGAAATTGCCATATAAATCTGACATGTACCCACATTCTATTGTTTGAGCAAGACTAACTAGCACAGAAACTTTGATTACCAGTATAAGGCAGAATATTCTCACTTCAATTAAAGTTGAAAATTAAATGGAAAACTATATTTTTACATAATTAAATAATGATCATGTAATTTTTTTATGCTATATATTTAAATGCTATCAAAATAATCAATGACCTTTTTGAGCCCTGTTCTTTTTTACTGAATATGCCTTAAATGCTAACAGCTGATTAGATTTTTATTGCTTTTACATCTGTCCTAAAGATAGTATTTCCTCCCCTTTTCCAGTGTCTTGTAATTCGAAGGTGTCCTAAAAGCAATGTAAGAGAGAGTTTTAAGACTAGATACCTAGGTAACTTTAGAACTATTCTAAATTAGGTTTACACTTACAAAAACACTATTCGATTCAATCAGCATTAAGAAGCATCCACTGTACATCAGCATTCGGAGAGCAGACACAGGCATAAATTATTTCATGAATAATTAAAATGAAAACATCTAATATTAAATGAAAGAGGTACATTTTACCTGGATAAGATGAGGCAATGCTTTTAGTGTAAGGCAAAACCAAATCCCCAGCTTACATGGAAGCAAATCATGCCACTGTGGTTTCATCAGCAATCTAAAGGGAAAACAGAAGCAAAGAAGCAAAACAGGGCAAGTTAGGAGACAAAATACTTTTATAAAGATCATGATTTCTGTTTTCAATGGCTATTTCCACAAAAAAGAAAATTTTCAATGAAATATTTATGATGGTTATCACTTATTCGGACTTATTCTATCATGAAATATAGTAGTTACAACAAATGCAATATGTATAGCAAGTAAGAGAAGGCTAAGATTTTGGGGAAGGAGGCTCTTAATGAACTTATAAAGATAAAGAAATGAAAGCCCTCTTTCTAACCTCAACTTTTCATCAGTTCTGCAAAATGAATTCTTAAACCTTATAATTACTCCAGCTCTAAAAGACTGTAAACTTCATCAGAGTGTTCTCAAGTGCTGACAAGCAGATATGAAGACTGTAGCATAAACAAACCAATACATAAAAATTAATGTCGTTTGCAGTTCACTGAAGCATTACTCACTGATGTCATCAAAACAGAAGACAGGCACAATAGTCTCTGATCTCCATCTCACATTGATCCACTTCCCGTCCTGCTGTGTGAACTATTTAAACCCTTTATTTCTTTCTATGAATCGATAGAAGAAATGGTGGTATCTTTTTGAGTGCCCTGCATATCACTGCCTCTGTACATATTGTCACTCCAGAGCTAAACACTAAAGTGATAGATTTGTCTAGTAATACTTTGCTTTTAAAGTTCAGTATACAAATTTCAAACTACAAGAACTTGGGGTTTTAATTACTTAAATACATGGTAACACTTTACAAAGAAAAAATTTGTAGAACGTTAAGATCAGAATTTCTTTCATAAACTAATATGGCACATTATTAGCCTTTTATAAACCTGCTATAGATATAAATGTTAGCATTTCTGAAGCAGATATATATGAAACATTTTTAAACAGTTTCAAATTATAAAATATTTTTATATGCTCCCACCTTTCATTTTTTTCTGAAGCACCAAGTTTTGATACATCCATACTCTTGCCGCTTGTCTTTTTTTTCTTTTCTCTCTTTTTTCTACTAAGCAGTTCATCCTTAATGTGGAAAGAATTATGGTTACAGGTTATCATTAACATGTACTCTTCAAATGTTATCAAGAGTCTTCTGTGAAGGGTAAACATTATAGAGGAACAGTTATGCAAATGTATGTAGGGTCCAACATGATTAAGTAAAATCATCAATCTTTAACAATAAGTGTTGCCATGGTATCCAGTCCTTAAACACACATGAAGTTTAGCACTGTCAGTCATGTGTATCTCCATAGCAATCAAAGTTTTCTAAGAGAAAGCATTCAACTTACTTTTTCTCATTCATCCAACTTTAATAATGTCACTCCAAAAAGAATGAGTAAACAGATGCTAATTCATGAATACTGATAAATATGTTTGATTATCTTTAGCATATAAATAAACATCCATAGCAGAATAAACTATGTAGTACTTTATTAGACTAAAAAAATCTAATAATTTTTTAACCAACTGATCTCTGAAATTATAAATTATCCTCATTTCAAGTCTTAGTTAAAAACTTTTAAAGTAAACATTCTTTAAATATGAACCTGTGATACACAATTTCTAAAATAATTTTTACATCAAAATATTTCTATTTGAAAGATGATAATTAAGAAAACATGGCTCTACCTTCTAATTTTCAGCTAGATATTTGGGTGTTCACAAAATCTTATAACAAACCCAAAGGCCATTTTTAAAAAGAAGGATATTTTCTTCTTATGTCATGGAGTCTCCTTGACTTAGAAACATCACAAACACTAAATACTGAGCACACAACTATTAGAATGAGGAGTATGTGTAGAAAAATTAAAATTTTCATCGGTTGAAAAATAAATGTCTGAAATTCCATATAAAATTAAGGAGGCTAGATCATTTGATTTATTACCAATACTTACCAGTTGTTTTTCCAGGTAGATTGACCAAACCACAGCATAATGACCCACTGTGAGAATAATGAACAAAAGTAATGCCAGCTCAGCATTGCTCATTTTTCTCACCCGCCTGTAGTAGAATAAAGGCTGTCGCCAGTCTGGAAGTCCATTGATCAGAATATCATCATACCTACAGTAGCAAATATAACAGGTTTTCAAGGGCAGTTTTAAATAAAAACAAAAAGCTTTATTTGTATGTAGATTTAAAGAGAGGAAAAAGAAAAAAATTTCTCCAAAACAGATAACATTAATATAGATTATCAGCGTTACAATGGTCTATAAATTCAAAACACTGTATGTAGGTCTAGTCACAATCTTTGAAAAGGTACACAATAATACGATGTGGATACCGGGTCTTATGTTTTTATAGCAACCCAATGATGTGACTTCTGGAATGATATCTAAACTAAAGGAGCCACAGAGTCTACCTCTCATAGTCTGCTGTAAAGACCCCACCACAGAAGTCAGTGACAAAAGGATCTCAATGGGAGAAAAATCAAGATAAGAGCTCTGTGTGTTGCCATGAACTATATCCTAATTGAATCAAATTCAGGATACATTTTCTAGTCAGTGCTTTTATTTCCACACCTGTACTATGGTTCAAGGTTGAAATATTTATATATATTATTTTATTGAAGCTTCTTAATGATGTAAAAGCCTATAAAATGAGCATCTTTTAATTTTATATTGTTCACATTAGAGAATAAAAAAATTCCCAAATTAGAAAGAGATGTGGAAACTACCAATGTTTATGTCAGATTTCTCAATAAAACTGTTTATTTGTAAACACTTAAGTAGAAATTTCCTCAGTTTTGGCTTTGCTGGAAGGGGAGAGCATAACGAATAAAAGCTTTCCTAGTAATGTATTTTAAGTCAGCTTTCTTTAGAATAAAATTTCAACTGAATTTAAATTTACCTGTCAGACAGTTATTGAGGCAAATATTTCTAAGGTTAAAAATCAAGAATAACATTTATGATTGTAAAACTCAAAATGGTCACAAAACAAACACTGTATGTTCAAAACACACAACCTGTTAATCTCAATTGAACACAACTCATTAAATATTCTAATCACACTATTTCCAGAATTAAATCTTCACTGAAAGGCCTAATTTGGTGCAACACATTGACCAAAATATTTTAATTAAAAATATTCTGAGTTAGTCGCAGGCCTAATTACAGGAATAGAAATAGGGCCTATATTGTCAGGCAGGTCAGTAGAACTCAGTAGTAGGTTTTTCTCAAGTAAATTGACCGATCTAGGAATAATAGCGCAGCTGCTAAACTGCCAGTCTTGACATGTAAATCAATTTAAATGCAACAACTGCAGTAGCTACTTTGATAGTTATTAAATTGATACCTTGGAGATATGCTAAAAAAAAAAAATAAAGCAGAGGATTTATTACAGGCAACTTCTTTTTTCAGTAGAAAAATATTGAGTTTAAATTCAAAATATATTTTAATAAATCTAGAAAACCTGACTTTTGGACCAATTCAGATTATTAATAATAATGACAGATCAGAATAACCAATGTTTGAAGTAAAGGACATTAATTACTACTAAACTCTTAAGAGGCAAATTGTGTAGTACAGAAGAGTCTACAGATTAAAATATGGTTGTGTTGTGGCTAGACCAGAAAAATTTTGATGTTAAATATTCTCCTGTTCAATATTTGCAGAAATTTTTGAACACTAATATCAAAATATAATAATGATTTCATCAAAAGCTATATCATTCCCATCCTCAAAAATTTATACTTAAATCTATCTTTGTAAAAATTGACTCATTTTAAATCAGAAATAAATTGGCAAAAAGGTTTCAAGTGTTATAATGCAAGATTACAACATTTAAATGAAGTCCAATGAATGTTAAATCCTGAATTTATATCTAAATCTACATTATACTTCAGATTTGTTAAGAGGGAAAAAAAGGTGACTATAAAAATAATTATTTTCAGCCAATCTCTCCCATGAAATAACTTCATGTAAAAAGCATGGTTATTAATAAAGAACACCTAAGAAAGTGGCGACAATTACCAAAGAGCATCACTGATTATTAAATTTTAGATCTAAACAGGACTGGAAGAAAACACAGCTGAACTCAAGAGTTATGAATTTCACATAAAATGTTTTATCACCACCATTGTTGAAATGCTATGTTTCTGTTAACCATTTTCTACCCCACATATAAACTGTATTCAGTGTACAGCCAAATTCAAGATAGCAAAACGTCATGCACACATTAAACAGAACTAGGTATTTACTAGGCTATGTCTGCCACTCTAAACAACAGTCTCCAAGGATTAAGCTTAGAATCAATGCTCTATTGATTTTATTATCAATGAACATTACGGCTTACACGACTGGCCATTTTAAGGGAAGATAGCTTCTATTATAGTTCACTATTTAGAATGTATGCTGTTAAAAGATAAATTACTGCTTGCCTGAAACACGGAAAAAATAAAGACACTTCTTAAAATATACGAGCACTACATTCATAAGTTGTTTAAGAAAAAATTTGTTGACAAAGCATAAAATTTAAAACGTCACTGTTATGCTTTCCCATATTTAACACATAACACTGTCAAAATGTTCTATAACTGAGCTCATACAAATTGTTCTTAGATTAAGAATATATACGTGTATGAATACGTGTTCTAAGAAAATATAAAAGTAAACCTCTGATGACAATATCACCAATGAAAAAGATTATATGGAACTGTAAAGGCATTATCTTGGAAATTAAAACATTAATTGATCAATTCCACATATCTAACATATGGCCTAATTTGTTTACTTTGATTTTCTTAAAATGTACATAATGAACATAAAATAATGGTTACATAATCATTAGTGAGTTACATTTTATAATCTGCAATTCATCATATATATTTAGCCTAATACAAACACTGGAAAGCAAATACATATCTAAAGTTTAAATTACCAGGAGAAAAAAACTTATGTAAATTAAAACAGCATGTTTTGATATATAAAATAGTAATTATGCAACTAAAATAGAAAACATCAATATTATGAAAATGAATACTTAAATAATTCTAGCACTTGCCTAAATGGTGAATTTCCTATCATACAAAGTTTGAATATTCAGCTTAAAATAATAATAGCAACATCCATTTGAACTTTAAGAGTGCAAATTAATTGTATAAAGATCATAAACAGGAAAGAAGTCTAAATTAATTGATCTTACTGATATACATTGAGCAGAGTAAGAATTGTGGTACACAGTACTTTATATATTGTATATAATGGGTGTTTTATATCTCCTAAATGATGAAGGTACTAAGATTTCTTACTCTTAAATCAATGTTTATTTTCACTCAAACACCTCTATAAATTTACAATAACTAGGCTAATGGATTTGTAAAAGTTTAGCAGAATAAGGCTGAGATAACTATACTTTTCAACATTGGATTTGTAAATAAAATATGATTTTATTTATTAAATTATAAAAATACTTTCAACTTTTACATTTAGTACTATAAAATAGACCAAAAAACTCCCCAAAATTAAAGTTGCAAAACTGAGTTAACGAAAGAATATTTGTTAAAAAAAATTTATAACAGATTTTAAAGAAAAATATGCTAATATTACGAAAATACAATTTAGTGTACATATGTAATGGTTGTTATCTACTTAGTACTTTATTTCAGCTAACACTCAGGAAACTTGTATAAAAATTTATGTCAGAACTTAGCCGAGCTGCTATTCCCTCCCTAAAGCAAGTTACTGAGGGAGTTTAGAAAAGGTTGCTATGCCAGGCTCGCTACACTACTCAGGAAAACTTGTTTTCATGCTACAGTCTATGCCTTTGGGAGAAAAAAATGGCTTAAAAGTTTATTTACAATTCACTCTTCGGACTCTATCCAACAGAAATGAAAAACATCTGTTCACACAAAGATTTTGGATGAACTAAAGTGGTATATGGAATACTATTCAGCAATAAAAAAGAATGAACTATTGGTATATGCTACAATATGGATGTATCTCAAAAACATTATGATAATAAAAAGCCAGACATAAAAGACTCATATTACATGACTTCATTAATATGAAATGCCCAGAAAACACAAATTTATTGATACAAAAAGATCATGATTGCCTAGGGCTGGGATCAGAGTGGGGACTGCCTATAATAAGGAAGTGTTTTGAGATGGAAATGTTCTAAAACTGGATTGTGGTGGTTTGCATAACTGTAAATTCACTAAAAATCACTGAATTGTACAACTAAAACAGGTGAATTTTATGGTACGAAAATTATAGCTAAATAAGGCTGTTTAAAAATTAAATTCGCCTTTTCCTTAAAAAAAAAAATAGTACAAAGATTATCCAGTTTGTTATTTTATTTCTACCAAAATTTAGAGAATGCACCTGATTTCAGTGAAAACACAATTACTTGTAAAGGAAACATGTCTATGACAACATCCCCAAATTCCAAATTCCTGGAAGGGTACACATTTAAAAGCACTTATTTAATGAATATTTATAATAAATAACTGTGACACCAAAGAGCATTTATTCAATACCAGTATAAGATAACCTCCTTTTAGAAGACAAAACTGATTATGCTCTCCCGCCTGCCCCGCCCCGACTCCTTTTAAAGGAATTATAAACATTAGGTTCTTGTCAGTAGAGGTGATTGCTCTTATATGTTTAAATACTCATAGGTCACCTGGCCTCAGGCGCAAGCTTTAGAGGAATGATTCTTAGCTTGATTAGTTAAGACTTTTGCCTCGGGGAAAACCAGTTACCAAAGAGTTACTTGTCCCTCAAGGGGTGTAAATACTACAGCTGTTTGTGTAACTGCCAGGTCCATTTTTCCTACTAAGGCTCTATAATAAGTGCAAAGGGAACTAATCCTAAAAAGAAAATGTTAGATGATTCTACATTAATGAAGAAAGAATATATAGATAAGATGTGATTTGTTCTAAAAAGAGATAATTTCGGTCATTAAAAGAAATTGTTACAAAGTTTACTGACTTCTAAGAAAACAGAAAACAAAAAGACAAAATCGGATGCCAAAGATACAAGGAGACTAAATAAAGCTATCTTTACAGACACATTCTTGCTACGTGAAACACAACTAGGGGCTCGGTGAGAGAAACCAACTAGAAAATACGCACAGAATGACCAACACTTCTTTCAACACACTCCTAGGTCTTTCAACATTATGGATTATCTCAAACCAGAGGAATGTCTGCTACGGCCTCTGGACTAATGCCAGCCCTTGTTATAAAGCAAAGAACACTTCAGGAGAATATCTTGAGTCCTTGCTTTGCAATCTGACAAACTGAGGTATTCAAATTGAAGAGTTAGGATGAGAACCAAGAGTGGTAGCTAACATTTTAGTATACAGAATAATGCTAGATAATATATTTGAAGAAAGATTCGGAATGTCATACAGCATAATTTTGGGGACTGTCTTTAAGATATATTAGCTCCCCCAAAGAGATACCGATAATTAAGCTGGCCTTAGCCTAAAATCTCAAATATCTACTTTTTTCTTTAAAGGCACTCTTTTACTGTAGAGCAACATTTTCAAATTGCAAATTGCAAATTGTAGCCCACTAGCGTCTCATGAAATCAACTTAGTGGACCACAACCAGCGTTGTTTTTAAAAAGAAAAAAACGACTAGTCTAGACTAGCCTAGAATAGAAAATACCAGTCTGTTTCACACACAAAAATAAGTGTTTGGTGAAATTTTTGGGGTGTGTGTGTGTGTGTGTGTGTCCAGAGAACGATGCAAAATGCATTTCTTATTGTGAGTCTGACTTACAAAACCCTGAAACTTCATTGTTATTTATATTGACTTTACCATCGCAACAGCGTCTACATTCCACACATTCTGCAGCAGAGGAAGGGGGCCCCTCTGCAGACTCCTCGCAGATCCCGGCACCATGAACTGTCGTGCGGTATATCACTACTCTTCTGAGGGCGGCACCGAGAAGTCTCCGAGGGAGGGGGCTGCCTCTAACTAACCCTCAACAGAATCACTGGAGCAGAGGAAGGGAAGGAGGCAAAAGAAATAGAAGCGAATGTTTTCCTTCCACTCCTATCTTCTACAGACTCACACAAGTCTGTTCTCTAACTCACAAATTGGGTTTATTATTTCAAGAGTGAGAAAACATCAAGAGAGGGGAATAACTCGAATATCACTAATAGCTTAATTCCAAAATGTTTAGGTAAAAGAAGAGAAAGCAAAATAAAAAAGGACCACCAAGCACAGAGAGGAACTATTACTGATATATCAAAAATGAATGGGCATTTATTGAAGTCAAGTGGTACTGTATTTCCTAGGAACAGACACCCATGTTAAAAATCTTAACTAACGAAGCCATGCCTTGCTAACGTTATGACTCATGATTCTGAAATCTATAAGTACTGACTCAACCCAGTGAATATTCGATATTAATAAGCTCTGCTCTAAACATTCATATTAAAAACACTGAATGTCTTGGATGGAACAAAAATAAAATACTAACTTATAATAAACTGCTTAATGAGATAATTCTTTCCTTTCAAAACTGAGGCATCAAACTCTAACATCTTAATTCAAAAGCAGAAATGAACACTCACCTCTGCCTTCGTTCATCATCCTTTAAAACTTCATAAATGGCCACCAACTAAAATAGAAGCATTACTTTAAAATAAAAATACTCTCAACTGTAAGAAATCGCTTAGGAAGGTGAACACACTATAATGCACATGCAGAAACCCTATGTGCTCATAAACAAAATGAACAGATAAAGCCTTAATTATAAGTAATATTTAATGTTTTTAGTAGCATCTTAAGAAGTTAAAAATGCTTGATAACAAAATAAATCTTTGTAAAAGATGCAGAAGTAATAATTATCTTAAAACGTGGTTTTAAAAAGCAAAAACTGTAATTTAGACAAGAAATTATGACAATTATGACTCTCCAAGAATTTAGAGATTCTAATATAAAAGATGTTGGTAAAAACTTATTTTGTAAAAAACTGAATAAACAGATACACATTATATTTCTAAACTACAACCCCATTTTCAAATAGAAATATTCTACACATAAGTTACTATTTCTACCATAAATATTTACAAATTTGTCACAAAAATATAATAGCATATTTCACTTACTTGTCTAAACTGAGTTTCTGCATTTTCATCTTTATTCTTGTCTGGATGCAAAGTTAATGAAAGCTTACGATATGCTTTTCTAATGTCTGCAGATGAAGCATCCTGGAGGTGGTGGGGGGAGGGGAAAAACACAAAGCAAACTTTGTCAGAAAAAGAAATTCCCAGAACCTTGTTAAGATCTGAGAAGACAGCCAACCAAGTGCAGGACCCCAGGCAATGTAATTTGAGCAATCAGACTAACAACCAGGCTATGCAACTGGCCTGCCCCACATGACTGAACAATTATTCAATCTAATTTGGCTCTCCTCTTAACTTTTCATTACCATAGTCATTCAAAGAAGACAGTATTTGGCAAAAACTTTTCAAACACTTGCCTTCCTAAAATTAACCAATAAATCTTTTTTAGTAATTAAGAGATCAAAAAGAAACAAATTAAAAATTAATACATCTGCATGCCTTCAAAGGTCTTTATTTGAGAATCTTAAAGCCAGTTTCTGAATCCCAGGCCTACCATATGTGGTTTCTTCATTGTTATTTATATTGAATTTATTACCATCAAGCAACAACCTATAGAATCTCAACTTATGTCAAAAGTATGCCTATTTGAAGGCAGTTAAATTTAAATTTGTGCAAAATAATTATAATTAAAAGTAGTTTTGTATATTGTACTTAACACATTTTTAGCATTATAAAGGGTGTTTTCAGTGGTGTCCAGTTTCCATAGTCTGGTTTGCAGCAATAAATTTGCTCACTATTTATGTATTACTAACATAGTTTAAACATATTTTAAAAGTCACTTTAGTTCAGTAAGAGTATTTAGGATTAAGTGGATGTTAAAATTTCATTTTATGTAATCCAGTGTGCCCAGATGAACTAAGAGAACATCATTTTACATAGCCATTATGAAATATAGTAACAAATAAAAATAAACTATAATAACAAGAACACACTATCTAGGGTTTAAAACTTTATCTCTACTAAATTTAAAAGTTATTCCAATAACTAACATATTTATAAGGGGACAAAATAATAATAAAGTTGCTTAGTAAATTTGACCTCATTTTATAGCTGAATATTTGTCCAATTAAGTCCTAAAACTACTTTACTAAAAAGTTCAAATGACTAAAGAACCAAAACCAAAACCTGCGGAACTGGCACTAAATAGCTGTTAAAGAAACAGAGCTGAAAAAAGGCAACATAAGACCATAATTAGTCTGTCAAGTGTTCTTTATAAACCATTATTTTCATTACCAATTTTCTGGAGCTTATTGCTACCAGCTATCAATAGACATAAAAGTTTCAACTTAGGTGTGAATAGCTTTGTGACTTGTGAAGGGCACAGTAAGTTTTGTGGGTAATATGGTTATAATTTTCATTCAAATTTGCTAAATGGAAATGATGTATTGCCTATACATAAGAAATAGGTAACATATAATAGAAGAAGATGATTATTTACTGAAAATCTGTGATGGAAATTTTGTTGAGGAAGGAGGTCATGTGTCAAATGAATAATCATTCTCTTACTGGGACATTAATTTCAGATTTTATTAAATTGGGACTACATCACAGAGAAATTCCAAAGTAAATATCTTATAAAATAAGAGTTTATGTATTGTCTTGTGTTACAAAATTAACACATGCTCATCATGGAACACCTATGATTTACTTAAAAATAAAAATGACTAATAGTCGCCTAAGGCATTTATTTCCCTTCTTCCAGTATTGCCATGCTGACCCCAATCCCCCATTTTTCCGCCACAGTATGTACCTAAATGTAAATGTGACAAGACGGCTCTCCTATTTCAAATCCTTCAGTAACTCCCAGTGCCTTCATCATCTGTCTTTCCCAATTTTTCTGGCTTTATCTCCCACCGTCTTGGTCCACCTTTCTGGTCCCCCAGATCATTACACGTCAGGAGGCTGTCCCTCAACCACCTGTTTTTGTTTTGCAACACTTACCTGTACAGTTTTCTCCTAAGGAACAGGCCTCTCAGGCTATGGACAAATATTGCCTGCATATTTTCTCCTTGAGAGTCTGTCTAGTAGGGCTATTTCACCAATAACTTCCACCGTAAGAAGATAGAACTGAAAAACTCAAGAGATTTTCCTGTCTGCAAAGACATGTTCTAGACAAGTCGCAACTCAAGCTAGCTCACGTATGTATTTTAGTTCATTACTTAGTGAAACTTAACTTATTTTATCCTCATAACAAAATTATAAGAATAGTTGTTATCAGGTCCATTTTACTGGTGAGGTACATGAGGCAGAGAGAGGTCAAGTAACTTGCATAAATTCATATTGCTGGTAAGTAGATGAAAATAGTATTCAAACCCAGAAAATGCTGTATGAGAATCAGAGCTCTCTATGTTGGCATTTTAGATTCAGTTAGTAGATTTGGGTTGAATCCCTTCAAAAGGGGCTACAGCTTTGGAAAAGCAGCGAGAACAACTGTTACATTCTTACTGATCTGAAAAACTATATGGAAAACATCAACATAACTATGATGTGAATATAGTCAACTGCATTTTTAAAGGTAAAGATCCTGATATGTGCTAGCTTTTCTAACACATTTTACATCATCATATTTCTACTACAGACTTGAATGTTAGAATATTTATCTCTCACACTCAGTGGATAAGACCTTTTATTTCTCTGGCTTGCAGAGAAAAAAAATTTTGATAGGGCCAGGTATAGGTGGATTGCTCTTATTTAACACCGTGGACATCAGGAGATCTACTGGGTTCAATGGACAGAATTCTTTTCCTTCTAAATTGGATATGGTTCTTTGGCAAGGTGGACATGCATTATCTTAATAGCTGGATGACCTTTCTAAAGAAAAGACATAAACTCATTCTTAAAAAAGCTATGAAAGTAATATACGTTTGTTAACATTGAAACAGTGCAATGGGACATTGGTGAACATGGCAGAGTGTTCAAAGAAAATGCAAATATTCTAGCAAAACTGTACAAATCAACCTTACATAACTCTTCAAACTAGTCAAAGGTTTATAGCATTCAGGCAAGCACTTAATCAAGGTAGCTGATTCTCAAGGTCTTGAAGACACCAGTCTGAATTCTTGGTGTGGGTTCCTTGTGCTAGAGGATGCAAAATGGACTTTGTACTCAAAGAACTATGGTTGTTCGTTTGGCCTGTCTGTTGGTTCCCTGACAAATTGTGTAAAGGGCTACCCTCATTTTACCAATCACAGAAACTCTTCCAAAGAAAAGAGGTAAACAACTAGGACATTTGTTGAAAACATTTAAAGGCAAATTTATTAGCTGGTGCCAAATGAGGCAACAGATTGCAGTTGGGGCATATAACAGACATACCAAAAAGCTTGGGAGTAAAGATTGGGGAGTGAGATGCTTTGAGAATGTGGGCTTTGAAAAACTCCCCCAAATTCCTTGGAAACCAGAAGACCATGTGTATGCCTCAGGTGGAGTACAGACTCAGAAAGACCTGAGAAGGCCCTAAATTCTCACTATTGGCTGATCCTCAGGCTATGCACAAGTAGAAAGTGAAGACTAAAAGAGAGTTGTAAACTGAGTGTTGAAGGCATGCCCCAACATATATAGAGAACCCACTAGCAAAGATTGTGAGCTTTTTTTTCTGGTTCCAAACCTTTAAGGAAATCTCTGATGAATACTGGCTGGTCACTAAGCTAATGAAATGGAGATGTCCATGGCCACACATGGCCACTGAAATTTAGTTCAGAAAAATCACTAAACAATACCAACCAAAGAAACAAATGAAAAAAAAAAATGTGATGTAGGAGAATCCGATTACATTATATATTCAAAATGTCCAATATTCATTGAAAGTTAAGAAGCATACGAAGAAAAAAGAAGGTATAGCCCACACATAGGGAGAAATTGCTCCTGAGGAAGCCCAGACATTAAACTTCCTAGAAAAGGTTTTCAAATCAACTGTTTTTAAATATGCTCAAGAGCATGTTCAAAGAACTAAAAGACAGTATGAGAATGATGTCTCGTCAAATTGATGTTATCAACAGAGACACGAATTTTAAAAAGAAACCAAAGAGAAATTCTGGATTTGAAAAGTACCATAACTGAAACAAAAATTTTTCTCTAGAGGGGGCTCAAAATAAAATTCAAGCAAGCAGAAGAAAGAATCTATGAAATTGAAGACTGGCAAATTGAGATTACCCAATATAAATAGCAGAAAGAAGAATAAAGAAAAATGAACGAAGCCTAAGAGACCTGTGGGACACCACCAAGAGTACCAACATAGACATAATGAGAGTCCAAGAGGAAGAAGAGAGAAAAGAACGGAAAAGATATTTGAATAAAAAATTGCTGAAAACTTCCAAAATTTTATGAATGACATCCAAGAATTTCAACAAATTTTAAGTAGGATGAACTAAAAAAAGATTCACATCTAGAAACATCATAACCAAATTGTTGAAAGATAAAAACAGAAAGAATCCTGAAAGCAGCAAGTGAAGCAACTCATTATGTACAAGGGATTTTCAATAATATTAACAGCTAATTTCTCATCAGAAAAGGCTAGAAGGTACTGGAATGACATATTTGAAATGCTAAAATAAAGTGTCAACCAAGAATTCTATATTTTGCAAAATCACCCCTCAAAAATGAAAGAGAAATTAAGATATTCCAATTAAAAGAAAATTGACAGTTCATTGCTAGTAGACTTGCTCTACAAGAAATGCTCCAGGGAGTCTTTCACTGAAAGGAAAAAATACTAGCCAGTAACTTAAATCTGCGTGAAGAAATAAAGAACACTGGTAAAGATAACGATATAAATATTTAAGTCAATATTCATGTATTTTTGGTAACTCCATTTTTTCTATATGATTTAAAATACAACTACTAAAGTAATAATTATAAATCTACGTTTTAAGCAAAACAATAATATAAATCTATGTCTATGGGCCTAGATGTATTAAGATGTAATCTGTGACAATAAATATATAAGGAAGGGGAACAGAGCTATATAGGAGCCAAATATTTTACATGATTGAAACTAAATTGGTATTAATTCAAGCTAGATTGCCATATATTAAGATGTTAATTGTAATCCCAAATGGCAAACACTGGGGACAAGAAAACTATAATAAAAG